GGGGGGGGGGGCAAAGAGCTATATTTATTTGACTTCATTCGGCCTGTCTTAATGCAGGGTGCCCCAAGGACTACACCACAAAACAATTAGCCTGGATTTCATAAAGCAATCAGCATGCCACCTTGTCTAATGCAACCGCTTCATACATTGACAGTCTGAATAAAATGGGTGTTATTGAAAGCTTTGTGTTCATGTTAGCTTTCGCCTCACTGCATTCATGAATCAATTTTTGCCCATAAAAGAAGCTTTAACACTTAAGCTATTTTAGTGGAAATGCATTATGTAAGTTGTCAAATGTACGAGAGAGGCCTGGTAACGATTCAGCCTATTCAGAATGAACAGCCAACCTCCATTTTTATAATGGTCCTTTTGAAAATGTCTAGCTGAGTGCATGTGTTTGCTATTAAGATGTTGTCAATCATTTTGCCACTGAAATCTAATCCATGAAAAATAATTTCACATGTGAACACATTTAAAAAAAGACTGAAGATTATAAGTTAATTACATTCTTAATTATTATGATAAATTGAATTATTGAAGCAGAGGTAATTATAGCACAAGAAACATGCACAGTAATATAATTTTCATCCTCAAACGTGTGTTTGTGCTGTTGATTCAGAGTGTTTGTTGGACAGCGGTCTGTGAGCTGTTGGAGTGTAAAGAATGGGCCCAGATAAACAACAAGCCACATCATACACGAGGTTTAATTCCATCAATACACAACCAATTGTCCCAGATTGTTTGACCATTGATTTTGTTAATACCACTTGGAAAGTTGATGTGGCATTGCGGAGGGAACCGAGAGAGAGAGCGAGAGAGAGAAATGTAGAGCGACAGATCATTTCACTTCTATTTCTATCTGAAGGAGCCTGGAGAGAAAAAGTCCAAAAAGTAATGCTACATACAAAGCATGGTGCTGTATGGAAGAGGGTGGCCTAAAATATGCAGCAGTGTAGGCTTTATAGTGATTTACTTAACTCCTTGTAGAATGCAAGAGAGCCAAAATCACCAGTGATTTAGCGCAGTGTTTCATTACTCCCTCCAAAGCCCTCAACAATAACACAGGGCATAATCTGCTGCCAATAACTCCAGGTGCTCTTAGTCAGATGGCTCCCTCTGGGCCTGCAGGGAAGTAATACTCTGTTTAGAGGCCAGGTGGAGAAGCTGCTAAGGATAGCTCAATAGTGTTTCTGGGGATAGAAAATCACCAGAGACTGACTTTTGAGTGGCTGCCTGTAACACTATTAGCTACATTATGGCTTCTACTGCTGCTAGGAAAGCTGTCATTTCCTTAATTAAGAGCCCGGCACAGGGCAAGAGGGAGAAGAGGCCACGGCAATCTCTCCGGGCCCCCAAACATTAAAGCCTGATTCCTCATCGCGCGAGGGCGTAGACCTTACAGGGGAGGGGGGAAAAAAAAAATCTATCTCATTCATTATTCTGCCACAAAGTGGAATTATGGAGTCAAGGAATTACATAGGAGGTGGTGCCATGGAGTGTGCCGAACAGAAAGGATTTTACACCTCAGTAGTTCTGGGACTATTTCTGAGGTGATTGTTAAGCTATAAGCAGAGGAGGGAAGACTCAGAGGACAGAAGAAGAAGAAGAAGAAGAAGGGCAGGCAGAGAAGAAATGGATGTAATAGATGTCTCCACTGGCTGCAGGTTTTTACATGTAAACAAGGGGAAATAGTACACTTCAGTTTGTAGAAGTAAGCCAGAGTTTCTGATGAATGGGTGGAGAATCTGCATGCAAACGATGCTTAAAGCAGTAAAGGACCCTGTGCTCTAACACTTATGCTCTCACTCGTGGCCACAGGTCTTCACCAAAAGGCTCTTTGACATGAGAGTGCTCTGCCCAGCTCTTACCTGTCTCTCCCTTGATGCTGGAGTGGAGATGGAAGCAGCACAAGCACAAGAGGGACCAGAGGGAGGTAAATTGGTGAGAAGAGGCAATGCCCATTTCAAAGGTCAAGAAGGAGAGATGGTGTGATGAAGAGAGGAGGATGGAGAAGGGAAGAGGAATGGAGGAAGGGAGGGGAGAAGAGGGCTTTTGTGTTGCATCCTCACAGGGGACTTCGGGACACTTTGCACATGAGCACATCTGTTATGGTGCGTCCTCCTCATTCCCAAAGCAATGTCAACCTGATTAGCTCAGGGTTGAAAGAGGCAAATAACAATCCAAATTATTTTTCATCCTTTTACGGCCATCAGTGAAGGCGGAACGCTGAGATGAAGACCAGCTTTAGAGAGCTGTAAGCCTTTTAGGAGATGCCTGCTTCACCATCGCTCCTCCTCCTAAATTACTTAAATGATATTTGCTGTAAATAGGATTCTGCTGCCGGCAGCCTGCGAGCCTGTGCTGGATAAAGGCCTTCCTCTTGCTCTGTCATACATCTTTGTATGTACTATGTACAAAACCCAAGGCACTCATGACTAGAGTTGAAATGATTATTAATCACTTGGTTGATCAAGGGGAAATTCATTGATTTGGATAATCAATCAAGTTTATTTTCAAGAAAGAAATGTCAAACATTTTTTTTTTGTTTCTAGCTTCTCCACTATGAGCTTGTTGCAGGTTTTCTCGGTTTTACATCATGTGAAGTAAATATATTTCGATTTTGGACTTTTGGTTAGATGTAACAATCACCTTTTTTGGAAATAGTGATTACATTCTTTAGTAATTTAGGTTTCCGGTTTAAAAACAATACATTTTAATGATTAATCAAGAAAATAACATCTAATTGCACAAAGCTCCATAGTTACAAACTCTAAATGAAAGTGAGAAGTCATTTTTGTAAATTTTTTTGACTAGTGCTGTAATACTTTAGTCAATTAGTCAAAAACTAAGTCAATTAGTCCTTTAGTTCTTGATTAGTCAAGAACGTTTTTTCCCACTGAATAATCATTTGAAGTCTTTTATTTTTCTACTGTTTGTTTGTAAAATAATGAAGCAATGTCACCTTGGGCTCTGGGGAGCTGGGATAGAAATTTCTGACTATGTTCCAACATTTAGCAGAATGAATGTAATCGATAATAAAAAAT